AATATTTTGTATTTCTGTCTGTGTCCCTGTTGTAGATTTTCCTTAATTTCCTGTCCAAAAAACTGTTGTCACCAGAACAGGAAGTGAGGGAAATCTCCCTATTGGGGCCACCGGATAACAGTATAAACCTGACAGGGGTTCTAATCCTCCCCCACTCCATCCAGAACTGAGAAATATAGATACAACCGAAAGGTGCAGGCTCCAGGACTGTCATCCCAATCCTGACTACACTACCTAGTGTGCCACTAACCCGGAACAAGCATGCAGCCAGTGAAGTCTGAATCATCTGATCTAATGCATGCTTGTTCCTGTTCAGTGACGCACGAGGTACTGAAGTGAAGTTGAGGATGAAGATGACAGCCCCGGAGCCTGCAGAGCCTTATAAATCACTAATGTAATTTCCTGTCCACTGCTTCCTCCTATTGGCTGAGTATTCCACCAAATCAGATTCCCCGCCCTGTGATGTCACCAGTCTCCGGGCAGATATCTCACATCTGATTCCCCCAGATATTTTAATACAACCTCCCCATACACACAGGGCCGGATTTCCCACAAGGCCACTGAGGCTCGTCCTCGGGGTGGCAGGGAGCAGAGGGGTGCCAGGGGTGTAGACTCTCCCAATGCCAGGGACATGAAGTTTCGGGTGCAGGGTGGGAAGTGGTTTTCTACATTTTGCGTTGTTGTGAAGAAGCCGGGCTAAATGTAGAGCTGGGAAGCTGCTCGTTGGTTTACTAGTGATCGCAGTCTGCAGGTCCGTCCTCCCCCCGCCGCCTCCAGGACTTATGTTCAATCTCTGACTGATCTCTTCTCCAGTCCATTCTTGATTCACGCAACTTGACTCTGCTTCTATCTGACCCCCTGAAATCCTCTTCCTTATAATGTCGCACTGAGGAGGGATTCCGATTGGTGAACTTCTGAGGTTCTTGCTGAACTCTCATTGGTCTTTCTGCAATATACTGCTTCCTATATGACCTGGATGCAGGTTTCTTGTCATATGATATCTGTTGATTATTACCAGCTATATACTCCTCTGTACGGTAATCCAGTAATATGTCTGTAACCCCCAATGTTTGCTGTACAGCCTCAATATTATGTCCTCCAGCCTGGAGGTATGAGTGTAGTCTAAAGCGGGTGGGTTGGGGGCGTGGCCTGGATGGTTCAGCAGTGATGTGACCTTTGCCCTTTGTACTAGAATGTGGATAGACATGTGTTCCTGGACCTTCCTGTACAATTACCCCAGACATGATATCTGATAAACCTGTGTGTAATGTGTGTGAGATCCCAGCCACCTCCAGATCCCCTCCATCATGGAGGAGTCTATCATGTCTCTCTCTGTCCTCATCATCTCCATCCTCAGTATCACACAAGTCACCTGTGTCTGATTCCTGTAAGACAGTCAGTGGATCTGTCATGTTACACAGCTCCTCAATGTGACGCATCTTCCTGGACAGCTCGTCCTTCTTTATTTCCAGCTCCCGGATCATATCCAACACGTAGAGGGAGGTCCGCTCTGCCTGCCCGGAGATGTCACTCAGGACTCTCTTCTCCAGGTCCTCCAGACGTCTCCTGAGGTCTCTGAGCAGGGCAGTGACTCTCTCTGTTTCACCGGCTGCTTCTCCTTGTACTTTCCTCCTGTGTTCCTCCAGACTCTGGACTCTTCTCTCCGTCTCCTCTCTCTCTGTCATCAGTTTCTGCAGAACATTCCTCAGTTTCTTCTTCTTCTTCTCAGAGGCCTCATCCAGTGACTCCATCTCATGTCCTTTATGTCCTCCTATCAGACAACAGGACACACAGATACAGGCATAGTCCTCAGTGCAGTAATACTCCAGGATCTTCTTATGGACGGAGCATTTCCTGTTCTCCAGGGAAGTGGTGGGGTCACATAAGACGTGTTCTGGTGCCTTGCTGTGGACTCTCAGGTGGTTGTCACACAGAGAAGCTTCACACAGCAGACAGGATTTCACAGCAGGTACAGGAGTGTGAATACAGGAAGTACAGAGGACCCCGGACTCCTTCTGATCTGGCTGAGCTGATAGGAAATTCTCCACTATGTTACGCAATGTTATGTTCCTCCACAGCGCAGGTCGCTCCTGAAACTCTTCTCGGCATTCAGGACAGGAATATCCACCAGACCTCTCCTGTGTATCCAGCACACAACCAATACAATCCCGGCAAAAGTTGTGTCCACATTTCAGAGTAAACTAATCATTGCCCCGATGTAAATCCAATGTCTATCACGTCGTCTCATGTGGCAGATCCATTGTCAATCATAATGAGTGACTCTTCACCGACACGGCGATCTTCTCTCGGTGCTACCACTCACAATGGAGAGTTGCCTGGCCGCGAATGCCGGCTGATGTCATTGACCATGGACCATGAAGCTCTCACTCCCTAAGAAGCCGCTGGATGAATTGAGCCCCCCTATCCTGTCTAGGGTACACAGTTCCTTTGCTGCCCCAAAGCACCCATTGACCCTCTACTCGCGACCAATTAACTGGCTTTTACGCTGCTGATGTTTTGTCTGTGAGGAATGTGACAGACTGAACCGTCACTGGGGCTGCTGGAGGAGCCTCCTTCCCATTAACTATGGACCTAGAACTATGGAGACCCTCCATAGACCTCTTGGGGTAACATGGACCCATTCTACTAGGTTCATGTGTGGAGTGACAATACTGCATGTTTCCCCTGACATGACATGGAAGTGACCCTGTGTTCATTATAGGCAGCAGACTGTCTGGAGGGGCCATTGTTTAGAGTGATGGGCTCAAGCTATTATCTAATTAAGGACTTCCAATGCGGCACCTGGCTGTCTAGGGGAGGGAACACACTGCACTCCTATCTGATTCTGTGAGGTATAAACTCTGTGCGCTTTCTTCAATAAAGCAGTTCTTGGTTTCCACTTCCACATTGGCGTTGTCTGATGTTTGAGGAGTTTAGCGTTCTATCCTAATATATTGGTTCCGTCCAATAATTAGTCAGGTTTGGGCTGAGGACCCTGGAATTCAGGTTCCAGCGGAGAGGAAGCTGATTTTTGACGGAGGTACCCAGTCGGGGTACCAGGCGTTCTGTCACAATTGGTGGCAAGCGGTGGGATCTGCTTCCTCTATACGGGCAGTCCAAACCACCACCGGGACCCAGAGCCAGCTACTATCGGAGGAGCATCCTGGGAGTTATTGGCCATGGAGGCGGAACTGCTGTGGCGAATGCAGCAGGTGTTGGAGCACCTTGACGAAACTGGTCCTGCACAGGTCGAGCGAGGTGGGAGAGAGAGGATGCCCAGCTATGCATTCCAAAACAGCTTTTCACCGATGTTGGAACTGGGGCTGGCACAGCGTCGGAGCCAGAGGTTCATGGGAGAGGTAGAGGAGAAGTTCAGCAGCCGGGTCCGGAGAAGGTTGGCAATCTACAGAGCCAACCCATCTGAGGTAGCAGTCCAGATAACCAATGCCGAGGTGCAGGAGCAGATCACCCGTTATCAGGATATGCAGACCGCGGTGATGCTGGGATGGGATATTGCTGAATGGGACTTTGAGCGGCAAGTCAAAGTCGCCATTTCCGGGATCAGAGGGACAGTTCCGGAGGAGTTGCACGTGGAATGGAGAGCCCTGATCCAGCTGGAGATGTGGGAAGAGGCCCGGGAGAATTACTATGGCTGCAGAGGTGAAGTCCTGTCTTCCCTAGAACAGCACTTCGGGGACCAGGTGAATCTGAGAATCAGCTTACTAGGCGGGCAACCCACAGAGGAAGGGATAGGAGAAGTGGAGGGTCTGGTGCAAAGAGAGATGGAGCTCGAAGATCAGTACCGAGTGCTATACTGTTTTGCCAACTGGTGGCAAGTGAAGGCGGGCATGCACTATTCCCTGGAAGGTTATGACCTTTGTGGCCCCGGCTTATTGTGGGAAGCGTTTGGGGAGAAGGCTGACTTTGGCAGTCCCGAGGACTATTGCTTCTGGGACATCCAAGCCAAATGGCAGGAGAGGTTGCAGACTATGGAAGTCCATGCCTTGGAGCCCGACCTGGCCTGGCTGGTCCAACAAGAGTGGTGCCTAGAAATGGACTACCTGGAGCTGCTGGAAAGTGGTCTGCTATTCCCTTCCGAAGATGAAGACCCAGTGGAAGCCACATCCCCAGAGACATGGGATTTAATGGACTTTTCTGTGGAGGATGTACAGATTGCTCAGTCCCCAGGTGAGGCGCTGGCAACAGGACAGAGGGCCACAAGCCTTTACCCAGCAAATGGTACATTCCCCGGAGTTCCAGGGAGAGGAGGCAGCCGGCCTCTCTCCCTAGAGGCAGAGTGAGTTCCAGGGAGAAGAGGTAGCTGACCTCTCTCCCCAGCAGCATTATGGGTTCCAGGGAGAAGAGGTAGCTGACCTCTCTCCCCAGCGGCAGAAGGAGTTCCAGGGAGAAGAGGTAGCTGAACTCTCTCCCCAGCAGCATTGTGAGTTCCAGAGAGAAGAGGTAGCTAACCTCTCTCCCCAGCGGTAGAATGAGATCCAGGGAGAGGAGGCAGACGGCCTCTCGCCACAGTTGGCAGATGGAGATCCAGGGAGAGAAGGCAGCCGGCCTTTCTCCCCAGCGGCTGATGGAGATCCAGGGAGAGGAGGCAGCCGGCCTTTCTCCCCAGCATCTGATGGAGATCCAGGGAGAGGAGGCAGCGAGATCCAGGGAGAGAAGGCAGCCGGCCTTTCTCCCCAGCGGCTGATGGAGATCCAGGGAGAGGAGGCAGCCGGCCTTTCTCCCCAGCATCTGATGGAGATCCAGGGAGAGGGGGCAGCCGGCCTCTCTCCCCAGCAGCAGATTGAGCATCTGGAAAAAGGTGCAGCTGACACTAGTCCCCAGTGGCTGAGTGCTTCCCAAGGAGAGGAATTAGATGTCCTTTCATCCAAGCGACTGGAAGAGCATCAGGGAGAAGGTACAGCAGGCATTTCTTCCCAGCAGCTGGAAATGTTCCAGGGTGAGAGTGTACCCGACACTTCCCCCCAGTGGCAGCGACACCGGGAGTTCCAGGGAGTGGAGGTCAGCGCCCTCGCTCCCTAGCGGCAGTGTGTTTAACCGGGAAATGATATGGGCAGCATCACTCTCCTGCGGCAGAGTCAAGCGGACCAGTTGGAAGAGCTTTTTTGATTTATCTTGCCCGACTAACACAGGTCCAGACCAGTTGGTGGTCTGGTACCTGGTTAGTCTACGGTTGGGATGGGAGAAATGTGACAGACTGAACCGTTACTGGGGCTGCTGGAGGAGCCTGGGGGCTAGCCTCCTTCCTACTGACTATGGACCTAGAACTATGGAGACCCCCCTTGGTTCCAGACATGGAACCATTCTCCTAGGTTTATGTGTGGAGTGAAAATACTGCATGTTTCACCTGACATGACATGTATGTGACCCTGTGTTCAGTATAGGCAGCAGGCTGTCTGAAGGTGCCATTGTTTAGAGTGATGGGTTCAAGCTATTATCTAATTAAGGAATTCCAATGCGGCACCCGGCTGTCTAGGGGAGGGAACACAATAAACTAGTTCTTGGTTTCCACTTCAACATTGTTGTTGTCTGATGTTTGAGGGGTTTAGCTTTCTGTCCTAATAAATTGGTTCCGTCCAAAAATTGGTCAGGTTTGGGCTGAGGACACAGGAATTCAGGTTCCAGCAGAGAGGAAGCGGATTTCTGATGGAGGCACCCAGTAGGGGTACCAGGCGGTCTGTCACAGGGAATTTAATTCAATAAAGTTTTGAGCAGAGGGTTAGGACACAGGGCACCCCTGGTCCTACAGACTCCAAAAAGCACATACAGCCTTCACAGATAAAGAACCTTCAAGCTGACCCAGCATTCTGTGAACTCACCTCCTGACTGTGAGACAGAAGCTTTATCTCCCCCAGACAGAAGGATCAAGGGAAGACTCCTGAATATTTATACCCTCTACCAGCATGTAGCACTGGCAATAAACCTCCAAGAGGTTGGTCAGGGAGGTTTAAATGTTCATAACTCTTATTTATACAGAAGGAGGTGATATCAGTTTTTCTGGAGTACATCCTACAGGTGCTCTGCTGCACATACAGGTCTAAGGCATCCCCAAACTGGATTTGGCTCACATAGACTTTTATAGGGCTCAGGTGCTATATTCAGGGTTCACGGATTTCCGGCTGGGTTTGGTGAAGTCTAGTGAACTGAACTTTGATGGGTTCCCTCATCCCTATGTAGCGCTCTTGGTATTGAGGCAGACATAACTCAAGGAAATATGTCACTACTGAGTAGATGAAGAACCATAATGAATGTCCCAGAACCATTTATTTGGTGATAAATGTCCCATGCACATTCCTCTCAGGGTGAAGTTCTCATCCTTGGGACATTCAGAATGATGGACACCAGTCACTTTGCAGTGATGTTTAATAGCACATGTTCATGAAGATAATATTGTCATGTACCTGTCTGATCAGCCCCTGTTCAGGGTTTGAACCTGGGTCTCTGGCACAGAATTGCACAGAACTAGCCATTCAGCCACTGGAAGGACTTGCTTTTTCCTGCAGGTTTTTTGTATTCAGCAACTCTCCTTATGGACACTTTGGCTCCACCTGCCAACCAGCTGTAGAAGATCTGCAATTAACTCAGACTTTAAATACCGGACACTTCCTGTGCTCTGAGCCCGTTGATTTGGGTTAGTTTCCTGTGTGAGCGGCCTCTGTGTTGTATGCTGGATTTACACCATTAAACTTGCCTGTTTCCTGACTATACTTCTGCCTGCCGATTTTTCATTGGTGAGGAGATAGTTACATAGTTACATAGTATTTGAGGTTGAATAAAGACATTAGTCCATCAAGTCCAACCTATTAGGATTCTAGGAGTACCTGTACCCCTGTATATTACCTGTACCCCTGTATATTACCCGTACCCCTGTATATTACCCGTACCCCTGTATATTACCCGTACCCCTGTATATTACCCGTACCCCTGTATATTACCCGTACCCCTGTATATTACCCGTACCCCTGTATATTACCCGTACCCCTGTATATTACCCGTACCCCTGTATATTACCCGTACCCCTGTATATTACCCGTACCCCTGTATATTACCCGTACCCCTGTATATTACCCGTACCCCTGTATATTACCCGTACCCCTGTATATTACCCGTACCCCTGTATATTACCCGTACCCCTGTATATTACCCGTACCCCTGTATATTACCCGTACCCCTGTATATTACCCGTACCCCTGTATATTACCCGTACCCCTGTATATTACCCGTACCCCTGTATATTACCCGTACCCCTGTATATTACCCGTACCCCTGTATATTACCCGTACCCCTGTATATTACCCGTACCCCTGTATATTACCCGTACCCCTGTATATTACCCGTACCCCTGTATATTACCCGTACCCCTGTATATTACCCGTACCCCTGTATATTACCCGTACCCCTGTATATTACCCGTACCCCTGTATATTACCCGTACCCCTGTATATTACCCGTACCCCTGTATATTACCTGTAGAAATCGTCCAAAAGTTTCTTGAACAATTCCACATTATTTGCTGAGATATTCCTGAACCCGTGCTGATTGTCATTAACTATCCCATTTTCCTGAACAAATTCTACCAGATAATCCTTTATTATGCCCTCTAGCATTTTACAAACTACCGTTGTAGTTCATATGTAAATATCACAGTAGAGACTATTTCCAGTGGGGGGCCAGTAGCCCCTATTTTAATTTTGGTTGCCCCTGTCTGCCTGACATCTTGTGTCCGGGTTTCTGCTGCCATGAAACCCGAACACAGCATTTAAAACCCGAACTGTCCGGGTGAATCCTAATGAGGAGATAATGAACATTTACCACCTCCTCATATTGTGAACGGACAGGAAGTGATTTGTACTGAGCCCTCCAATGTTGCATAACTGATAAGATAATAAACATTTATTACCTCCTCATCTTGTGAATGGACAGGAAGTGATTCATACTGAGCACTTTGGTGTTCATTCATTGATGAGGAGATGATAAACAATTACTGCCGGTTATTTAGAATGAACAGGAAGTGATCTGCACTGATCACTCCTGTGTTTATTCATTGATGAGGAAATTACGAATATTTACCACCTCCACTTAATGTGAATAAACAGGAAATGATCTGTACTCAGCATTCCAGTGTTCATTCATTGATGAGGAGATAATAAACATACACTACCTCCTCATAATAGGAATCTGTACTGAGCACTCCAATGTTCATTCATAACTCCTCATACTTTGGACAGAAAGTGATCTGTACTGAGCACTCCTGTATTCATTCATCGATGAGGAGATAATAAATATATACCACCTCCTCATATTAAGGAGGGACAGGAAGCGATCTGTATTGAGTACTCCGATGTTCATTCATAACTGAGGAGATAACAAACATTTACCACCTCCTCATCTTGGGAATGGACAGGAAGTGATCTCTACTGAGCACTCCAATGATTATATTGATGAAGAGATAATAAAAATTTACAACATGCTCATTTTGTTGACCCTCCGCTGGAGACATCAGACCGGCACCCCGGAGCAGAGAAGCAGCACAGAGTATGTAGCAAATTCATATACTATTATTCTGCATTGCTGTATAATGTATTGCTGGGATTTGTAGTCCTCTATAGGTGATGGTATTATTCTGCATTGCTGTATAATGTATTGCTGGGATTTGTAGTCCTCTATAGGTGATGGTATTATTCTGCATTGCTGTATGTGACGGAGGATGTGGGAGACACAGAACACACACGGAGAGCAAGAGTAGTTTTATGCACCCTTTGGCTAAGGGGCTCTTTATTAAGAGGTCAACACACAGGGTGTAGTCCGGCACAGCGAGATAAAATTCATAGGGTCTCAGGGCAGCAAACCGGCACAAAAAGGGTTAAGTCCACAGGGTCTCAGGGCAGCAATACCAGCACAGAAAGGTTTAAGCTCACAGGGCCTCAGGGCAGCAACCCGGCACATAAAGGGTTAAGTCCACAGCATCTCAGGGCAGCAACCCGGCATAGAAAGGGTTAAGTCCACGGCATCTCAGGGCAGCAATCCAGCACAGAAAGAGTTAAGTCCACAGGGTCTCAGGGCAGCAATCCAGCAACTTACGGGTGAAGTCTATTGGGTCTCAGGGCAGCAGTTCAGGCACAGAAAGGGTTAAGTCCACAGGTCCTGAGGGCAGCAGTTCAGGCACAGCCCCAAGATCAAAGGCTACTTGCCGCTCTGCTAGGGGCTGGGGGGTGCGTGCCTCTGCTGCTGCTGGGGAAGGTAGTGCGGCCGGACAGTGACACTGTATAATGTCTTGCTGGGATTTGTAGTCCTCTATAGTAGGGATGCACCGATACCAAGTACCGTACAAGTACCGATACATTTTTGTTTATTGTCATGTGACACTTTTTCTAAAACAATACAGACTGATGATTTCAGGACAGTGGTGGAGCGCCGGGGTCCGGTCCCAGCTGCAACCGCTACAACCCTGCTAGTTCTCATGAAAATGCCAAGTATCGGCACTGGTACTCGAAAAGTATCGGCACATCCCTACTCCATAGCTGGTGGTATTCTGCATTGCTGTAGAATGTATTGCTGGGATTTGTAGTCCTCTATAGGTGGTGATATTTGTATTGTTGTATAATGTGTTGCTGGGAGTTGTAGTCCCTCTACAGCTTGGAGTCAGTGGCAGAACTCCCAGGGTTGCAGCGGTTGCAGCTGGGACCGGCCCCGGTGCTCCACCACTGTCCTAAAATCATTAGTCTGTATTGTTTTACAAAAACTGTCACATGATATGAATTTTTTTTTTCGGTAATTGGTATCGGCGAGTACCTGACCCCATCCCAGGATGATTGGAGTAAAGAAATAATATCAACAGCTCTTCTGACCTGGTCTGGACCCGGCCTACCAGTTATAAACCCCACCTGGTCCCGATGGATATAAGAATTTAGGAAAGAGTTGAATCGTTTGGCTTTGGATTTTCGTCATGGATTTGAGATCGTTATTTATTAAAGAGATCGGTCTGTAATTAGAGGCCTCCACCGGATCCTTGTGGGGGCTCAGGAATAATACTTAAAAAAGCTCTCTTCAGGTCTGGGTCTAGGGAG